ATGACTAAATGTGGTACTCAATGAATTTCGAGATCGACTCGAAATAAATGAAGATCGAATGGATCGACTCCAACAAGTTCGTGATCTGCCACCGAGGAGAAACAATCATCGACAACGTGCACCTAGGCCAGACCCTACAGCGGAATATTATGAGGAGTCTCATGATAATGATGGAGATGCGGTTTCCTTGGTCACTATACCGAGAAATCGTGGAGGAAGGGATGAGGTGCCACGACAAGTCCGAAGAGAAAATCGTGAGAGGAACAGTATAGATCGAAATTTGTGGTCCATCAAACTATCTATCCCGCCTTTCCAAGGTAAAAATGACCCTAATATCTACATTGAGTGGGAAAGAAGGGTGGAGCTAGTCTTCGATTGTCATAACTATTCTGAAGAGAAGAAGGTAAAACTTGTTGTTGTAGCATTTACAGATTATGCTATTGTTTGGTGGGATCAACTAACCTTGTGTAGACATCGAAATCGGGAGCAACCAGTTGGAAGTTGGGAGAAAATGAAAGTTGTCATGAGAAGAAGGTTTGTTTTGAGAGCTTTACATGTGCAAGCTAAGGATGATGGGATGAGCTACAAAGGGAGAATATCTTTTATACTCGATGTCATGTGAAAGATCGGGTATGTGGATTGATTATAGATGGAGGAAGTTGTGTGAATGTGGCTAGTTCTTTGATGGTGGAAAAGCTTGGTTTGCGCACCAAAAAGCATCTGAGGCCATACCGACTTCAGTGGTTGAATGAAAGTGGTGATTTGAAAGTAACCAGAAAGGTATTAGTCTCATTTTCTATTGGGCGATACTCTGATGAAGCTATGTGTGATGTCGTGCCTATGCATGCTAGTCATTTGTTGTTGGGAAGGCCATGTGACCACACGGGTTTTTCACCGGTTTTCTAACACCATTTGTCCCATATCATTATATATTCTAGACATATTAGGGCGTTAGACGACCATGGGTAGGAATATTTCTCTCCTTTTCTTTGCAGGACGATCAGACGAGGATATTCGCGTACGAGGCACGGAAAAGAAGTGGAATCGAGAAGTCCGGAGGAGCTCAGACAAAATGAGCGGCCAGCCTGTTATCACGGGCGGTCGCCCGTCGTGACAGTCAAGCTATCAGGCGGTCGCTCGCAGAAGTAGGCGGACGCTCTGTGCTATTACGGAGAACGAGCGGTCGCTCGTTATACCAGGCGGTCGCTCCGAGTTACAAAGAAGAACGAGCGGTCGCTCGTTAGGATGAGCGGTCGCTCACCACGAAGAAAATGAGCGACCCTGAAGAGAAAACGAGCGACACTGAAGAAAAAGTGAGCGACCGCCCGAAATCAAAATCGGCCCAAAAAGGAAAAGCCCGATTTTTGAGGAGAAAACCTAGTTTGAAACTTTCATAAAAAGGGGAGTTTGAAGAGAGAGAGGAGGCTCGACACTGGGGAAGAAAATCACCTCGGAGAGTAGGCAAGAGAGATTTGGAGACCTACGGAGACATCTTGAAGGAGGAGATCACCATTGAAGATTATCTTGAGCATTTCTTCTCATTTTCTATGTTTTCCTCTTTTATTTTCTGTTTTGAGACTCTAGATATAGAGTAGTGACTTTGTTGTGGGTGAGGAATCCCCACTTTTGTATGGACACCTATGCTTAATCTATAATGACTTTGAGTTTTCTTCCATGGGTTTGATGTTTTGTGCTTAATGCTATTGATTTGGATGAAACCCTAATTGATATGACTATAGAACACATTGATCATAGGGATATGGGAATGATGTTTGGAACCAAATGTCAAATGAGTAAGTTATTCACATTGGGAGATGGCTTAGCTTGCTTAAGGTTCATGATAGGGTACATTAATGCATCTAGAGATCATTTAGATCATTGGCAGATGGGTGAATCGATTCTCTAGGTAGTGAGTTTAAGCTCGGGAGAGACAAACTCTAGGAGAAGTGCTTGAAACCCCTTTTGGAAGATAAACCCGTAGACATTGTACCATCACTAACCATCCATGCAATTCTTGAGGGATCCCGAACCTACAACGTCTCGAACCATCGTTTACAACCCGTTAATTTGATTTGCTTACTCGTATTCCGACACCTATCACAACTCACATTTTTATTCGACCACCTAATCTAGCATAGAGATAGACTAATACATCCTAGTCCTCGTGTCCGACCCCGGTACTACAACTACCGTATACTTGCGGATAGTGGTACGAATCAGGTATTAAATATAAGTCTCGGTGCGTGTGCATCAAGTTTTTGGCGTCGTTGCCGGGGACTAGGCGTTTTCGTGTTGGTCTAGATTTTTGCTAGATCACCATTGCTTGGATTCTTGCTTGGATTACTTTGTGACATAACCTTTTCACAACACTTTCGGTTCGTTTTGTCTCTTTGGTGTGCACCTCTTCCGGTGCATGACAAAAAGCACAACCGGTAGAGATCAACTCGTCTTCGATCCAAAAATAGATAGGACTCTATGTTTCGCTCGGAGACAGCAAAGACAGTGGGGAATGGCCGAAGAAATGATGAGAGAAAACAACGCACGAATGGAACAACCTGAAATGGCCGAAGAGTTGTTGAGAGGGGCCAATGCCCAAAGAGGTCCAGCTCAAGCAGCCCCTAGAACGGTTCGAACGTACACACAACTGAAGCATACTCAGTTACTATCATGCATCAACAGGGGACTGTTAGAAGATTTCGAACTCCTACCGCAATGCATTCAAATGCTCAACAACATGAATTTCCGTGGGAGACCCAACGAGGACCCGAATGCTCACCTTACAAATTTCAAGATGAATTGTAAGGCAATCAAGAAGGGACCGAGGATAACTTTAGAAGATGTGTTCCTTGAAACTTTCCCCTACTCACTTACAGAGAGAGCTAGAGATTGGCTTTACACTCTTGAGCCAAATTCTATCTCGACATGGGATGAAATGGAAGAACAATTCCTTATGCAATACTACTCCCCTACCAAGACTCAACACGCGAGTAATCAGATCAATGCCTTTGTGCAAGAGGATAGGGAAAATCTTCACGATGCATGGGAACGCTTCAAGGAATATCAAAGAATGTGCCATCACCATGGAATGGAAAGAGACTACCTTCTATCCATATTTATCCATGGGTTGAAGGATGACACTCGGCCTTGGATTGATGCGGCATGTGGAGGTGACATTTATGACATCCCTTTCCAAGAGTTAGAAGCGACAATTGCAAAATTGGCCAAAGGACGCAGCCATATGTCCAACGAGTTCAGTAGGAGAAGCTCAGTGAAGGGAGATGTGGGAGAGAACGCAACTCTTAAGGCGGTGTTGGCCGACCTTGTTGAGATAAAGGTTCAACTCGACAATGCAAAACAAGTAGCTGCTGTGGAAGATCACAATTTAGCGCAAGTTCAACCGGAAATGTACATGGTTGATCAAGAAGGGGAAGATGCTAACTATGTCGGCCCGAATCAATACACTCATCCGTCCAACCTATACAACCCGGGAGTGAGGAATCATCCCAATTTCTCCTACAAGAACACGTTGAATGCGCTAAATCCTCAGCCCGCTTTCCAACGGAATAACCAAGGACCTCCAGGCTTTCAATCGAAGTATCAACAACAAGGTCAAGGGAGTCAAGGTTATCAAGGAAATTCTAACTATAGATCGCAGCAAGCGCAACCCAAGGAGCAAGACCTGGACATCAAGGATATGCTATTGCAAATTCTCCAAGGTCAAAAATCGCAAGGAGTATCCATTGGGAGCATTGAAAATGAGCAAGTTGCATTCAAGAAACAATTGGAAGGAGTACAAGCTCACTTGAAGATCTTGGACAATCAAGTGGCCCAACTCGCATCTTCCTCATCAACAAGACAATAAGGTATGCTTCCCGGTAAGAACAAAATTGATGTACGCACGAGGAGGATGGGGCAGGGGAGTTCAACCGCAATCACCGGCTCACGGAAGTGGCTCTCGAATTCACGGAGGAACAAGGGGTAATCGAAGTGGATTTATGGTGAAACGATTCCAATCACCGGCTCACGAAAGTGGCGCTCGAATTCAGAAATGTTTCAAAGGAATGGAGGTGGTAATCGTAGGATAGGGGCGCGTCGGACACACCGAACGCAATCTCCTCGGACACACCGAAGAAGTCTCTCGGACACACCGAAGAGAAGAGGCCTCGGACACACCAAGACACAAAGATAATCTCGACACTTTGAGTGGAGAAAGAGAACAAAGGTTCTACAATTTTTTATTGATGAAAAGCTGGTCACAAAATGAAAAGAAAGGAGTTTAAATAACAACAATTGTCAACAAAGACATAAATGCTAAACAACATGCAGCCCACGTGCATTAATGGTGAGTAGGTGGTAGAAAAGAGCTGTTGGGAAAGCTCCTTCCTTTGGGCTGCTGATGGGCTGGACCGTGGGCCTTCTTCTTGGACCGAAAATTGATTAAGGCCGTGTTCTAGGCCTTAGACAATTTGGACTTAATGCTGAAATTGTTATGAATCACTTCTCGTCCGAATAATGATGCATCATTGTTGTCGTGAATCCGGAATCCGTGAAGAACTTTGAGTGACAGCCTTGGTTAGCGTGA